GTTACAAACCTTAATATCATATATATATATCAACATATTTGGCTGTATATTACTGAGTTTTGATAAACAATAAAATTCAATAGGGTTGTCGAGTTCCTTGTCTATGATACCTAGCGATATTCTTTTCTACCTATATCTATTAACAAACGAAGTCGCCACCAACAGATGATTATTAAATGTTTATTAAAATCATAAAAATTTTGAATTGGCGTCCGAAACAAAATGATCATATTTGTTCTGAACATTTCATAGACGACTGTTTTATTAGACACGAGAACTGCACCACTTTGAAAAAGTGCAGTATTCCGACAATATTTTCTGGTAGTACCAGTACCAGTAAGTATAAAAGTATTAGATAATTATTTCGAACGTTTTTTTATTTCTTCTTTCTTCATTTTCTCATTTTCCTACAAACTCGAGGGCCATAGCCAAGTGTCGAAAGGTCGCCTGATGATGTCGAGCTACGTTGGATGTGTGTTAGTGGACTGCGGCTAGAGGAGCTTCTCCCTGTACCACTGTAGTCGAGGTGGAGTCGTCAGGGAAGAGGAGTGTTGGTATGGCGATTGGCGATGCGATGCCACTCGACTATTCTTCGCGACTTTGGTGAGGCTCAACCACTTGGTGCTTCCAAGTGCTCGTTTTTTCCTGGCTGCATTCACATATTAGGCTCGGGGAGTCCTTAGTGCAGGTGAAGTCGGAGGCCGCAAAGGGCAGTGTGCTTTGTGTTTCTGGTGCGTCTTATTTGAGAAAAAAAAACGGGAGGGAGAAGTAAGCAATTAAGGAGGTGCTGCTATTGGGCGGCTGGCGCCTGAGGGGTCGCGGGTGTGCATGAAAGCGTTTCCGTGGACCTGTTAATTTGCGGCGGAGATAGAACACCATGGGGCTTCAGTAAGTGCGTGCTAGAAATTTAGTTGTCTCTCGAGTCTCAAGATTTAATTTGTGCTTTAACTTCGTAGTGGCCCTACTTCAGCTTATTTCTTATTAACAAATTCTGGCCACCTTTTACATTCACGGTTTTTGGCAGCTTCCTCTTGCGCAACTTTCACCGACAAAGGCAATTAAGTGTTCGATCAAGAACCCATGGATTGCGATATGTCAAGCCCCCTATAATACGTGGCACTGCCGAAGCTGAAAAGCTTAGGAGGATAAACTTAGGAATGAGGATATTGGAAGTAGAACCAGAGTGACCGACATAGCCCAACGGATTAGTAAGCTGAAGTGGCAATTGACTGGCCGTATTGCTCGAAGAACCGCTAATCGATAGGGAAAAGTGTTCTCCAGTGGCAGCCTCGTACCGGCAGGTGAAGTGTCGGAAGTTCCCCCACTAGATGGGGCAAAAACCTGGTAAGATACAGGAAGTTGATGGATACAGGTGGCTCAGAATCGTGCTTTGTGGCATTCTTTGGGGGAGGCCTATGTTCAGCAGTGGACTTGTGAAGGGCTTTAATGATGATGAATGATAATGGCATTATATTAATATGATACATAAATAGAATGGAAGTTACGGGTAGAGTCCATCTATCCATAGAGTCCATTCTATTTATTTAGGTATAGGTAGGGTATAAATTTTTTATCGATATATTTTGTCACACTGTCTTATCCCTATTATTAGTTCCGTGGACGTGCATTTCTGCTGTCAGCGCCAAAATGGCGCAAATCAAATTGCCTTATCATGTCACCGTGTATAGCCAGTCCAGCGTACTTGTATTTATAGAGGTCAGTGATATAAAGTCTTTTTGGTGAAACATAAGCCTATATACTACTATATACTATATACGTTATTAAATCATTTTAATTCCAGGGTAGAATATGATTAGTTTAAAATCTCTAAACAAATTAATTATTGTTAACATTTTAGTGTCGTGGTAGTTTAAAGTCAAGACATGCCTTGAAATAATCGAAACTGCCTATGCGTTTTCACTTAGAAATTATTTTTTATTTAACCTTTCACTGACAACAAGCCATTTCGTCTTATAGAACTCGGGGGTTAAACATGGCATCACACCGCATTTCGTTAATAAAACTTGGCTATGTTGTTATATGACTCTATATATTATAAAATAAAGACCATGTTATTATAACGAACACATAAATAATTTTAGTTGTTTCTAAAAGTATTATATTTTTCTTATAAAAAGAAAACCAATGTACCTAGATAACAGTATATAGTAATGTGTGGCGGATTACCCTTTATAGTATCTAATATCTTTAAAATAGCAATTCATATATATATATACCTACCCTGGTTCAAGTCCAGATGTATTCGGTTCGATTTTTTCCTTTTTTTTTTCAATTTCTCTTCTTTTGTGACAAAATCTATTATTTCGAGCCCTTTTTTTTTAGTATTTTTTTAAAACACGAAAACTTAAATTAAACTAATTGCACTCATGATTTTTTATTTGAATAACTTATAATAACCGTTTAGTTTTTTCTTTTATGTCGGTAAGATTTAAAAATATTATTCATGTTTTATAAGTATGTAATTTGTATCTAAATATAATTTCCAAAAAACACGATTTCCAAAAAAAATACCGAGTAAAGCTCGGTCATCCAGGTACTTTATTTTTATATAACGAACATTAAATGCGTATCGCCATTGGTTAGCAGGGGGACTGAGATGACTGACGTCCCGATGTCATTGTTAAACCCGGCTTCAGCTTTAAATTTTTGTCCGAACTATGCAAAATGAACTGACTGTGTCTTGAAGTCCCCCGTGACCATGGGTGCTGAAAAGCACCCGAAACGTCGGGCATTAAAAATAATTAAAATTAAACGCAATAAAACCCGTAAAAGTATTTTTAATCAACAACTCAATAATTATAAAAAACTCCAATTGGCAACCCGCCCGCCGACTGTGTCAATAATGACAAATATCCATACTATAAGGCAATCTATAACCTAAGTTCAGCTATGGACTTGTGACGGGTTTTAACCGCGGCTCCACATTATCGCCGTGAAGCTCCGTAAATAGGCGTGAACGTGAATGTAGATGGTTCTCCCAGGATTCACGCGCGTTTACGCCTGTTCCCCGATCAGACTCTGTATTTTGTGCCGCGACAACGGGTTCACACACCCTTTGCGCGGCGTTCACGCGTACACATCCACATTCACGGCCGTGTGCCAGTTCATTTCGGACTAAAAAGGCGTACGGACGATGTATTTCAGTCATACACCATCTTCTTTTCTTCCAACGCTTTCTAATGATTTTTTTTATTTTGGACGTGTAAATAGTGATTAGTTGCCATAGCAAATAAAGTTAGTGCAGCAGCAGCTTACGACCATTTCGCGGCGGGTTTCACGAACGATTGTGAGCATTCCGTGAATGTGGAGGGCACGACTTGTGCCGTGAATTGACGCGTGAATTCACGGCGATAATGTGGAGCTGTCATAACACTTTCACTATCCGATTATAAGACACAATATTAAGACAATAACAATGAACTAAGATGATGATAATGATGATCTCTCTTATAAATAATTTGGCTTAGTGATTGGGGTTCACAATCTTAGACATTTGACCACTTAGACTCGATGCACTGACTCCAATATGATTATTTATTGGTTCTATGGGTACCAAAGTATGGGTAGAAGGATTTTATGCTCCACAATAGATGATGGTTCAACGTTTGTTTTACGTAACAGGATCACTGCCACTACTTCCAAATAATCGGAAGATATTAACTGCGCAGGAAATATTAGAGTTGCAAATGTATGCGCTAGCACAGATCTCTACTTTATATATATACAGTGTAGTATATATATATATATATATATATATATATATATATATATATATATACAGTGGAATCTCTATAACTCGAACCTCCTTAAGTCGAAATCCTTAGAAAGTCGAAAACAATTGCCATTCCCTTCCGCTGAACCCCTAAATACGCGGTATCTCGAATTATTTAGACTTTGTAACTCGAACAAAATGTTATTTCCCTACGAAGTATTGATAATACATATTTATACTCTATAACTCGAATTTCAAACCGGAGACTGTAAGTCGTAGTTAGTAAAACATAATGACGTCTTACTTGGAATTCCCCGAAATAATAGCAATAAAATCCAAAATTAATGTTCGCGTTCGGGGCTTCTAATCTATTGTTTTTGTCTCATACACGTGCAATGAATGAATATATTCATAAAACTTTCTAAGTAACACAGCTGTGAACGTTATGTTTGTTCCTTGTCGACACAGGACACGATTACTTTTAGCGGAACTTGTCCGTCAGTATTTATTTTGGCAGTTAACTAACAACAACATGAGTACAGAGGGAAACTAAAAACTTTGACTCTACGTGAAAAAAGCGATGTTATCAATGCGGTAAAAAGTGGCATAAAAATAAGGACGTCGCTGCTCAATACAATCCGTATCCGTCCGCCAGCAAGCACTGTCTAGTGCACAATGTGTAGTGTTCGCGTAAATATAAGAAATCATTATTGAGTTATTACCAGAAAGACGCTGTTGCCCATTTTTTAATTCAGTTTCCCTCTATTCCTTTTCCGGCACCCATGGGATAATAGGTGGTAGTTCAATCTGTTACGCCGCTACTACTCTACCGCTATCCGAACACTCTTATGGAGCAACGGAAATACCAGACTGGCGTTTATAAATATATTTTTCACTAGCTGTTCCCGCGACTTCGTTCGCTTGGAATATTTTTAGCAACTTATTATTATTTATACTTCCCAATTTGAGTCGGATTTTGCTCAAAATTTCATGGATTTTAATTTTTTTGTTTTTGCGCAGAAACCTAATTATTTTTATATATCATAAATGTAGCCAAGTTTTTCCTTATAACATCAGTTCTACCAGTGAAAGTCCCGTTAAATTGGTCCAGTCGTTTTGGAGATTAGCCGAAAAATACAAACGGACAGACAGACAATTAAAAAAAAGTGTTTCGTTGTCATTTAATAAAAAGCTGTTATTTTGACATTACCACATACACTTCAATTTTAATAATTTGTATAAATATTTAAAACATTATTTCCTTCAGGATTGCGGTCACAACGCAACATTGCAAGTATTGAAAAGCTTCACTGAATATGATCCCACCATCAATGTTGTTCTGCAACCGGATCTCTCAGAAATCCGGCTGCCACGCGCCAAAGTCAAGTTTAGGGGTTACTACAAGATAGCGAGACATTACCGGTTCGCGCTGAACCACGTACTGAACACCCTGGGCCACGAGGCTGTTATAATTGTGGAAGGTAAGTAGCGAAACACGCGTACAGATTTCCTTAAAATATAGCAGCCTCGAAGATTATCTTCGGGCTTATAGCTTTGGTTGACGTTACTCCGGCAATACATGTTGCCCAAGCCTCACCAACGCGAGCGTGTGCGAATTGATACAAGGTGAGTGCTACGGTATACACGTTGCTCAAGTTCGAAAGCGACCAATGCCAAAGCTAATGTTCACGAGTTTTTGTGGAGCTATCCACATGTTGGCCGTAATTAGTTGCCGATATGGACGACGTAGAAATTATTGCAGCTTCTGCTATTTATTTAATGAGTGTATTTGATTATTATATCAGTGTAATCCGCAGTAAAGTTATTAAAGATAAGAGGCAGAAAAGAAGGTGGTGGATGCTGGGTATTATAATTAAACCAATATCTCAACGGGACGGACGCCAAGCTGTAACTGACATGGCCGACTAACATGTGGACGCGACTTGCCGAGTGCAGGCGAGCGCCTTTGATTAATGCAGAAACCCGAGACTGTTCCGAAGTGGACGAGTCGCAGCAAACGATCACGAGTGGCGGCAAGGTACGCCAAACGAACCGTATACACGTTGGCGCTCGCTTGCACTCGGCCAGTTAGGCGAGCGTCGACGAGCAATGGCGAGGCTGGACAAATGGGCTTTGTATACGTTCGTGCTCGCCTTCGCTGGGCCAACATGTATAGCCAGCTTTACAGACCAGCATTATCATGTACGAAAATTTCAGACCAACTAAGGAAATATACAATACACTACGTACATTTCAAGTAATGCCAAAACCATGATCAACTTCTTGACACGCATTCACGCACACATCTTTCTGTGTTTGTCAGCAAAAACACACAATTGCACCTAAAATTATGTTTGTTGCTGAGGTAAATATGGGGGCATTAATGCTTGTTCTTTATCTATGGCATCATTTGAAATGTACGTAGTGTTTTTGTCTCTGCGAATCAGTTTGTTCAGTTGGTATTCGTAAATTATTGATACACAAAAACATCGTAACGACAACTGTAACAACTCGTAGATAACATATTTTATGTATAAATAGTTCTATAGGTTGTAAACATTACAGTTTTCATTATTAATAATAAAAAATACCCAAGACGGAAATTTCTGTGCACTCTTAAATGTTTCCATTATTATTTTACCTCGTTTTGCTACAAAGCTCGAAGAACCGACAATCGATGGGAAAAATGGTTTTCGAGTGGCAGCCTCGTACCGGTAGGCGAAGTGAAGAGCGACCCACCACTAGATGGAGTGACGATCTGGTAAGACATGCAGCTCAGGACCGTACTATGTGGCATTCCTCGGGGAAGGCCTATGTTCAGCAGTGGACTTGTGAAGGGCTGTAATAATGATGATGATGATATTGATAAAAATCCCCAAATATGTTTAATCACCCGTAAAAGTATTTTTATCGTAATCGCAGCCTTTACAATATCATAGTTTTTAGTGTTTATTGTCCAATACTGAGGTCTCTTTCTGTTTTTCTGCGTAAATTTCTAAGTTTAATAAGAATAAAACAAAAAGTTTTTTTTAAATCTAAATCAAATTATTCAGAATTTCTGATATAACTATGAAATATATATTTTTTTTAACAGATGATCTCGACATATCGCCAGACTTCTTTGAATATTTCCTGGGTACATATCCATTGCTCCATAAGGATCCTAGCATATGGTAAGTAAAATATAATCTGCCAACATTTAACTGAAGATGAATATGTTTTATATAAGAAGAGGTAAAGCTTGCTATTTAAGAAAAGAACCTACTCTTTATCGTACTGCAGTTGTTCATGTGCGCCAGTACTAACTTACCATCAGATGAGCCACATGCACACTTGCCTGCTCTTCTATAAAAAAAAAAAACATTGGACCACAAAGTGCCCAAAATGTGGCGGCTGAAATTAAATCTAAAATTTTCTTTTAACACTCCCTATGGTAAATGCGATAGGAACGAATTGTTAAGTTGTCAAGTGGTGTACCGTCATGAAATACCGTCCCGCTCTACTGAGTACTTTAAAAAGCTTGTTAAAGTCTTTCCTTCCAAGTGACTGCGGAACTGAACATCACTTGATAAGTCGACGCCGGCGATTCTGACGTTGGCTGAGGCAGCAAGAGAAGTGCCCAAAAATTGAGGAGAATCGACAAAGGATTTTTATCGGTAAAACCGCGACCCTGTGTCTTCTGAAGGTTAAACTGGACCAGGTTTAGTCTTTCTCATTAAGAGACTTTGCTTAACAAGGACTCGACTTCAGACACAAGATTTGTTGGCACTCGACGACGTATTGCCGAGAAATATTTATACAGCCAGTACAAAAGCATCACCAGTGATGACATATGTGATTGGACAAATATTTTCATAACATTTTTGTCAGTAGTTTTGTATTTCTAATTAACTAAACTTTTGCTACAATAGTAATGTAAAATTTATACCATTTGCATGTTTATGATATTTAGGTGCATATCGGCGTGGAACGACAATGGTAAAAAGGAGGTAATAGATTTGTCCAGACCTGAATTACTACACAGGACCGATTTCTTCCCTGGACTGGGCTGGGTGCTTCGTAGAGAAACGTGGTTAGAGCTTGAACCAAACTGGCCAGAAGCGTAAGTGATTTTTTTTAATCATGAAGTTTCATTAATTTTTTTTAGAAAAAGTTTTCGATTGTATACGAACAATTAATTTTGATATTGTACGAAAAAAGGTCTTTACTATTTCGTCTGTGTTCTCTGCTATCGATGTAGATATTTTAGTCCTGGCAGTTTTAAAATTGACGAGTAAACAGTGTTTAACGTGGTAGAGTCATGATGCAGTTATATTAGTAATATAGTTGTAGTACGAATGGGTCGGCTCGACCGGGGAGGAACCACGCTCTCACAGAATAACAGCGTCAAATAGTTGCTTAATGCTGCTGTGTTTTACTGGAAACGAGGCATTCCACCTAAGTCCTCACGAGTGACAACGCATTTGCATTTTGATTTGTAATCGAGGATAGATGTAGATGACTATGGGCCACAGCAACCACTTACCATCAGGTGGACTGTGTGCTCGTTTATCACCCTATCCTATAACAAAACGATAAAGAAATATTTTGTTGCATTAAATGTAATTTCTCAAGCCCAAGCTTAATAAACAGATGAGCCACTACTAAGAATTAGACACTTTCTTCACTGTACTATGTCACCTATTAAGATTAATTTTGGCACTGTTTTAAATATTGTTTTACCATTGGTTTAGTATACATTTTGGCATGATTTTTCCTTAATTAAATATAAAAAATAATTAATAATTTTATTAATTAATTTATTAATTTATTAAGTATATAAATTGCACTTTTGATGCAGGTTTTTTGACGACTGGTTACGTGATCCAGAAAACACACAGGGTCGAGCGTGTATAAGACCTGAAATATCTCGCACGTATTCCTTTGGGAAGGTAATGAAACATTACACTTACATTATTTTTACGTGGTAGAGCCAGGCTACAGCACGAATGGGTCAACTCAACCAGGTTAAAACCATGCTCTCACAGAATACCAGCATGAAACAGCAGAATATTGCTGTGTTTCTGCTGTGCTTTTGGTGAGTGTAGAAAATCGGAGATCCTTTTTACTGGTAACGAGGTATTCCATTAATTTCGATGAATTCTTAATCGATAAGAGATGTAGAGCCGTAGCATCCACTTACCATCAAGTGGACTGCGTCGTATGATCTATTTAAAATATATACATCAAATAATATCCTATAATTGCTTGACAAACTAAAACTTTTTAGACCTAAACCTATATATATAACCTTTTGGTAATCAAAGAAGGTATTTTTTATTTGTATGCATACGAGTATACGTCATTTATTTTTACGAAATGATTGATAAGTATGTATAATGTGTGAAGACTAACGACTATTATATTAACAAGACTATAATTGACTGATAGAATTTTGTGATTAACATCCGTCCCATATGACCCCAATTAATTATTTAGTAGTATTCTTAGCCTTTTAGCTCGAAGGACTGACAACCGATGGGGAAAAAGGATCTCGAGTAGCAGCCTCGTACTGGTAGGCGTAGTGTAGAGCAATCCCCGACTAGATAGAGTGACGACCTGGTAAGACGTGCAGGAAGTCGATGGATTCAGGTGGCTCAGGACCGTGATTTGTGGCATTTCTTGGGGGAGGCCTATGTTCTTCAGCAATGGACTTGTGAAGGGCTGTAATGATGATGATGAAGATGATAATTCTTAGTCTTTAGTTCGATTCAGCCATTTGACCACTGTCGTAAACCACTCGTATCACAAGCGTTTTAAGCTTACTTGTAGTAATTAACGGGAGTATTAGTGGAAGTAGTAACGTTAATCGTGTTACTAGTATTCTTTCATTAAATAATTGTAATTCAAAATGGCAACCATTTTATTCAAATTGGCAACCATTTTACGGCGTTTCTAATCCTGGATTATATTTAGTTTCAAATCTCTAACTCACTTGACAAGTAGCTTAAAATCAATTGTTAATTTTTTCAAAATTTAAACAGACAAGAAGTTAGATTGGTTTGCATTGTGTCATTCAGCTTTGATCTATATTTAAAGTTTAGTGTCCAGCTCGTCGGAAAGTTAGTTTAAAATCTATTGCAAAATTTGTTACCGATACGGTTACAGCCTATTGAAGTTCACTGCTGAACATAGGCCTCCCCATATATTGCTTCGTGGAGGGGATATTTGCCGTAGTTGCCACGCTTGGCCAGTGGGTTGACAACCGCAGTTTTTCTTATTTTCACTTCTTATTAGTAAGATGCTACTGCCTATTATGTTTAGTTTTGTTATGTTAGGAGATTTTAATGGAAGGGTTGGGATGAATAGGCTTAGTTATAAAAGGATATTCGGAACGTTTGATGATGAAAGTATTAATAAATAAATGGTGAATGGTGAGTCTCCTCACTGGTATGTGTGGGAACGAACACTTTCTTTCGTCATAAGAAGATTCACATGTATACATGGGGAAGAGGTGATGATAGAAGCATGATAGATTTCATAATTGTGGATGAAAGAATGAGCGCAGTTGTAGATACAAGGGTTTACCGGGGGTCCAACGTAGGGACGGATTATTACTTGGCCTTATGCCGAATTATAATATAATATAGAGTCGTATTCAGACGTTGGCGGTATCAAACATCTGTTTCTACCACTGTGTTACAGCGTATAAGAACAGAGAGAGAGAGAGAGAGAGAGGTTACAAGATGAAGATGTGAAAGACGAGTACAAATAATGTAGACTGAGAGAAAATATAAGTGGTCTGGACGAATTATGTATGAATGAGTTAGATTTGGAGAATGTGGTATAATGTTAAGAAAGGTTTGCTGGATGCAGCTGCCGAAGTATGTGATGTTAGTAAGAGAACGAACGAAAGGAATAATAGCACGGTATGGTGAGATGATGAAGTTCGTATGGAAGTTGAAGCAATGAAGACAGCATGGCTAAGTTTACTAGCAACTAAGGCTGATAATTCTGGCGGTACGAATGATAATATTGAAAGAAAAAAGGCAGTCTTTACAGTCAAAATAAGAGAGTAAAAGAAGTAGTTGAAAGGAAAAAGCAAGAAAGAACAGATAAGAATGATAGAAGAATATCGGATGACTTCCAGGCAAATATTAAAATTTTCTGGACACTCGTAAGAACTACCAGCAGAGGACATTCAAAACAGCCCAGATTGAATGCTATACGAGACGAGAATGGCTGTATTCTGAATGATGAAGTTTTTAGTCTAAAGAGATGGAACGTGTGAACTAAATGAAATAGAAATTCCGAAAGAAGAGGATAAGGCGGTAAGGATAGGGAGATATGTATACATGAAATATTGAAAGCAATGAAAAGCATGAAAGTAGATAAGGCAGCTGGATATGATAGAGTATCACTTGAAATGATAAGGCCTAGAGAGGAAGTGATGGCAGGCCTGCTGTACACCTTGTTTAATTTATGTTGGCAACTATATAATTTATGTGCAAAGCCGTGATAGTCCCAATATATAAGGGAAAAGGGTCGCAGCAGGATTGTAATAACTACCGTGGTATCAGCCTTCTTATCATTGTGGGAAAACTGTATGCTAAGGTACTAATTGAAAGAATTATGAAAGAAACTGATGGAAACATGTCGGATGTGCAAGCAGGATTTAGAAAGGGAATGGGGTATACAGATCAAATCTTATCCATGCGTATGATTGCGGAGAAGTTTTTGGCCAAAAACCAAAAAGTTTTGTGCGTTCATGGACTTGGAAAAGGCTTATGACAGAGTGGACAGGGATGTGTTATGGCAAACACTGAACTCATTTGGGTTGAGCGCTGGGTTGATACAGGAATTAAAGTCTCTTTGTAGGGATTCTAGTTTCTAGTTTTAGGATCAACGGAGCCTACTCGGACTGGTTTGGTATACATAAAGGTGTCAGACAGGGCTGTGTGGCTTCCCTGTGGCTGTTCAGCCTATTTATGGACAGTTGTTTGGAAAATTTGAAAGTTGAAGAATACGGGTTAAAAATGGGTGAGTTAACCGTCAAATGCCTTTTGTACGCCGATGATCAAGTCATATTTGCGTCGTCGACGGCCGAGTTGCCAACGATGGTTACGTTAATGAACAGGTCATTAAAGGAGAGGGGAATGAAAGTGAACGCAAGTAAGACGAAAGTTATGGTTTTTGAAAAAGAAGAAAGTAAAACGATATGTGAAATAAGAATAGAAGGGGAGTTGGTCGAGCAAGTAGATGAGTTTGCATATTTGGGATATGCATTCAGCAGGGATGGGAGATATGATAAGGATATAGAATGACGAGTGAACTCAGGAAATAAAGGGAATGGGGCTCTCACTCTATTGTGAAAAGTCAGAATGTGTCATGAAAGGAACATATGGCAATTCACAATGCTGTGTTAGTCCCTACTTTAACGTATGGTAGTGAAAGTTGGGTGTGGCAGAAGAAGCACAAGAGTAGAATAAACGCAGTAGAAATTCGGTCGTGTTAGGGCTGAATCTGAGTGACAGGGTGAGAAATTGTGTGGTAAAAGAAGTGTGTGGTTTGCAAGATGATGTTGTGACCAGGATTAAGAAAGGAATGCTTCGGTGGTTTGGTCATGTACAAAGAGTGACAAAGCAAATTTATGTTGCAGAAGTGAATGGAAGCGTCGGAAAGGGACGTCCTAGGCGAAAGTTTATTGACCTAATTGGCGATATATTGAAAACGGGCCAAATTAAGAGTACCTTAACCGACGAGCATGTATGCGTAGGTATATGTATGTGGAGGAGGCGAGAGAGGTATGTCAGGATCGTGCTAAATGGAAGTCTGTAGTCTCTGCCTACCCCTGGGTGACGGGCGTGAGTTTTTATGATTTATGCTACTGCCTATCTCCTGATTTGTGTCCCTATGTCGCGTCTTACGACACCCACGGGATGTGGGGTAGTGGATATTTTTCACCGCCACTACACGGTACACGGCAAAATTAGCTGTTGTAAAATTTGTAAAAACTAGAAAGCTGATTAATATAATGTTACTGGTGAATTGTGTTTACATCTTTCAGCAACTTCTTATTTTGGTCTGTTTTGAATTCATAAAACTTTCAGTGTTTCCTAAAAACATATCAAACTGCCTTTTAATGCTTTTCAGAAATTTAGATTAAAGATTGATTGAGATTTAAGATGTAAAGAAAATATGTTAACTAATATGTTGCTTCGATTGATTTATTTCCCATTATACAGATTGGCGTGAGCAAAGGCTTATTCTTTGATATGCACCTTCGCTATATGCACCTTAATGCGGAATTTGTGGAGTTTACTAAACTTAACCTCACATATTTGCTCAAGGTAAGTTTTCTAATGGAGTTACTTTATTACTCATTATCGGTTCTAAAAATATTACAGCCTGTGATATTATACAACATCTTATTAAAAAAGACTCAGTCGTAGCTGTCAGCTTCACATACTTGTAAACATTATTTTTGTATACTGAATGACCTTTCATACCGTCTGGAAAAAATAGGGTGTAACATGTGAATTGAGTAGAATTAGCCTATAATAAAAAACGACGAGCTGCACTCAACGAGTGCTGGCAGAAGTGAAAACTTGAATATTGACGTTGTGCATTTTTGATATTTTGGAATGATTAGGTAATAATTTTGCACGAATTGCTTTAATTATCACACACGAACATTCGCGCAAGCACCCTGCGCCGCCTAAACGAAACAGCAGACGCAGGCATACATTTTCGTCGCGCCATAGAAAGAGATGGGGATACTTCCTCTCCTACGCCGCGCCGGCTGTCTCTCTCTCTCTCTCCATCCGTCTTACGCATTTTCGATCAGGGTCACGTGTTCTGATGCGAGTTTAACATTTTTTACCCATTAAGAAAAAGTGTACAACGCCGCTAAAGAAGTTTTCACTTCGATAATAATTTTTATTTCAGATATCCAAGTAATATGTTAGTAAATATGAAACTTATAATTTATGTTAGTACCTAAATCTAATTCTTAAATACAAGTGCCTTATCAACTAAACAGAGGCGGTAATATTGCTTAAATATAAATGAGTCATATCTATCAGCAATTATTTTCATGATAGAGTTGGAGCTAGCCCGCACCCTACCTAGCAACGAGGCTGTTTTCTTTCTTATAATGGCGTAGTAGTCATCCGTATGATCCTTTGCAAACATGCCTGATGCACTGCAAAATCGGGGTAGCCCTAACAAGACCCTGAAGCCGTTGTTATTGTACTGGACGCGTAAGGCGCCGACAGCCCGCTGTGAATAATTCGACACAGACTGCACGTGTAGAAACTTTGACAGTAGGCTTTAAATAAAGTTATCTTTACTTGTTCACTACGCCGTGCAAACAGAACGTGCCAACATATTACATCGAACTGCCAGCGCCCTACGTTTCCTTTCAATGTCCACATTGTCGTTTAGGTCATCGGTAACAAAATGCCCTAGGTACTTAAATTTACTTACTCGTTTTAAATTAGTGCCATTCTATTTAAAAGCAGGCACTTTTTATGGGCTTCTACAGCCGACGGCCCTAAAAACCATGAACTCGCTTTTATTAGTTTATAACTCAAGCCATGGTTTAACGCGTACTTTTCACATATCTTGAGGAGTTCTCTATTTGCCTTGACCGTTGGACTCAGCAGCACCATATCATCCGCGTAACTAATGTTATTAAAACTTACGGCATCGATACGACATCCGACTCCTTTCCTGCTGAGTTCAACGATTAGATCATTTATGTACAGGTTGAAAAGCTTTGGTGACGTCTTCAAATTTTTGATGACACTGATATTTTACAAAAATAAAAACAAAAATTTTGAATTAAATAAATAAACCAATTAAAATCTATCGAAATACAAATCATATCCACCCTACATTACGAACGGCAATAAAACAATAAATTTAGTAGGTATCTTTGACCTTGTTATTTCGCAGGGTCACAGACTCAAGGGCAAAGTGCAAAGTAATTGTTCAAAATTATGTTTTTATTTTTTATGTTTTGTATCAGTGCCATAGGCTTCTACTCCATTCACATGTTTTTTTTTTCCAAAAAAAAAGATGGAAAAAAAGTCATCCAGTACATGTGTATGTATCCGAGCGTGACGGCCACGCGAGTTCTGTGCTCTTTACCCATACCAAAAGTGCCTAAAGAAATTTTCATTTCAAAAACACTGGATGCAATGTAAATATACAGTTTATTTATATCAAACTTATTAACAGCCCTTGTGTTTTGCGCGGCGTAAGAGAATTCCTCCCCGTAAGTAAATTTCAGAAAATCTGATTGCATCTGATGAGTATATCAATTCTGTTACGGCGGACATAAAATACCAAGACCAGCTTCGGGCCTCAGCGTGAACGATTAATCCGCCTGTTTAGCGTGACCTTTACAGTTACAGCTTATTAAAGTCCACTGCTTAACACAGGCATCCCCCATAGATTGCCTTATAGGGGGGATATTTGCCATGGTGACCACACTTGGGAGGCGGGTTGATAACTGCAGTTTTTTACCTTCCCGCTAAGAAAATTGAAAATTTTCAAAAATAGGGAAGTTATTGGTTTCACCCCGATTTCTGAAAATCGAATTTTCATCAGATCTCGACGTTTTGAGATCCAGAAGCTATTCTGACTAATTTCACGTGGACGTCCGTACGGATGTATGTGTGCGTGTGCGTGAGCGTGTGCGTGTGCTTGTGCGTGCGCGTGTGCGTGCGCGGGCGTGTGCGTGTGTGTTTGTGTGTTTGTGTGTGTGTGTGTGTGTGTGTGTGTGTGTGTGTGTGTGTGTGTGTGTGTGTGTGTGTGTGTGTGGAAAAGGGGAGATCTCCCCGCCGGGCAAGGTGTTCTGCCCGGGGAGCGGCCAACACTCCGTGTGATAGTTCGGAGAAGTTCTATATATACTGTTTATTATTCGGAATGTTGATAGCGCGATTTAGGCTTCGGTGTGTTTTCGCTTGTGGCGGCGACGACAGCGCCGCTACATCACCCCCCTGCTCAGACCGGAGGTCGTTAGTGCAGCCTTGTTGCCGACGAATGTGCAAGTGCCAGTGGATTGCCTTGTAGTCTGCGGTGAGTCGAGAAGAAGGCAAGTAATCTGCGAGAGTGCCGTGAAGCAGAGGCGAGCAGTGAGGCTCAGAGCCGTGCCGAACACTGTATGGCGCAGAGAGTAGCTTGAAGGAACAGGAAGCATTATTATTCCAGTGCTGCGATGAACCTTGTGAAGCTAGATGACTTGCAGGATATGAAGACTGCAGACGATATCTGCTCGGGAGCGAATGGGTGGGGGGGGGTATTCTATGACGATGATGAAGCTTGAAGTTTGCGAAGGTTGTTTGGTTGCGTGTTCAAATCACGTCGGGGGGTCACCACTGTGGCCGTAGAAGGAAAAGGGGAGATCTCCCGCCGGGCAAGGTGTTCTGCCCGGGGAGCGGCCAACACTCCGTGTGATAGTTCGGAGAAGTTCTATATATACTGTCTATTATTCGGAATGTTGATAGCGCGATTTAGGCTTCGGTGTGTTTTCGCTTGTGGCGGCGACGACAGCGCCGCTACAGTGTGTGTAAGTATGTAATCCTTTCATAATAACTTTTGAACGTCCCGATCGATTGAAATGCGGTTTGCGGCGTTCTAAAGATCACAATGTGGAATAAATTTGGTGATAATATGAACTGATTCGGACTAGTAGATTTTGAGAAATCTGAAAAATAAACATTTTGAAAAACTGTTTTTTGGAATAACTAATCGGTTCTTGACCTCAAAAAATGACGTCGAATGCCGTTTGGAAAAATATAAATCGGTTTACTCGTTTGTGAGATATCGAAGAAGAAAGAATTTGAAAAAACTTTTTTTTAACATAACTTCGAGATTTCGCAACTTAATTTGGTGAAATTTGGAGCGCTTTGTATTTGAAATTAAAAAAAAATTGCTGGGATAGCCAGGATGACCTGCAGGGCAATTTGTTTTTCTGATTTGTTTCCCTCTGTCGCATCTTACGACACTGACGGGACGGTATGAGATAGTGGATATTCCTAAACCGCCAATGTATGGTCAATGCTTTAATCTATTGAGTAAGAAAATTGTTATACATATGTACCTACATCTAAACGTCTCTAAAAGGGAGAATGGAGTGTATGTTACATATTATAAATAATTGATTAATACTAATAAATAATTTCTTGGTAGGACGTCTACGACGAGGCGTTGACATCGACGGTGTATTCGCTCCCGGAGATGTCCGCTGACGAAGTGATATCCAGTGCTGGAGACATGGCGGTCAGAGTGCCCTACTCTAACGCCAAGACCTATCAGAAGGCGGCCAAGAAACTTGGTCTCATGGACGACTTCCGAGTAAGTGTTGAGTTAACTTTGGAATTCCTGACGATTGGGTGATTTAACGGTACGCGTGCCTAGTTGTAAAAAGTATTCAAAGTTGTGGGTTTTTCACTCAACCCGCAAAATTTTATTACATCCAAACTATTCCTTTTAAGCAAAAACTTCTTAGGTACTTCTAGCATATGATTACATAAATGGAACAGACAAAGCTTCTGAAACGAGTTGGTAAACTTCGAGAACGTGCAAAATTGTTACCTAGTTTGGTAGGGTTGTCACAATTGGTGAAGACAAATTAAACAAAACAAACCAACCTACCCTACCTAACCTTCTACATACCAACCCACCAACATACCTACAAATATTTAGTAAAAGCTTGTAATAACAATAAAAAGGTAAAACACACTATTCTTATTAAAAAAAGGATCATACAATAAAATAAGGGTACTTACTTGAAAAAATAATATTCAAATATTTACTTACCTATTGTATGTACTCCTTGGGACGTTAAAGTATGATATATTTTTATTTTTTCTAGTATTATTCATACACACAGTACAATAAACAACCATTATTAATAATGCCACGTTTTTACATTAAAATATTCAAACTTGCAACTAACAAAACAAACAACGAGCGTCGCACTGACCATTTTTTTTTTTGACATGGGGAAATGCCTACGCATACCCGCCTCGCGGGGGCAAGGACGGGTTATGTCGGACTCGCACCGACTAAAACCCCATGGTGTTCCACCTTTGTCGCATATTGGAAGGGCTACGGGAACGCTTTCGCACACTTCTGCGGCCCTACCAGCGACTGCCGCCCCATGGCAGCACCTCCTCGGGAGAGGAATATTCCTCCCCGTTCTCCTTCCCAAGTAAGGCGCACCAGAACACATGGCACGCCTTTCTCCACGGCCTCCAATTGCATCTGCGCAACAGACGCCCCCGCGTCCGATGCGCGAAGGCCATGGGGCCAGGAAAAACGAGCACTTAGAAGTACTAGCCTTCCCGACCCCAGCGGCGGATCTGGTCTATGGCTCCGCCGCCAACCAAGATTCGGCTGCGGAGGATAGGGAGAGCGGCGCCTCGCAATACCGACAATCCTCTTCCCCCGCAGCCCCATCACCACCGCATCAACGGTGCGGCCCCGTTTGAGTCGCGGAGGATAGGGCGAGTGGCGCATCGCCATACCAACACTCCTCTTCCTCCGCGACTCCACCTCGGCTGCAGCGGTAGAGGGTGCGGAGTCCCCACTCGCTGCAGTCCGCCAGCACACATCCGAAGTGAGCTCCCCAAGCCCACTCGGAGTGGCCACCTCAGGCCGGCCCTTCACCTCGGGCCAGCCACGTGGGTTCCTCTTTGTTCACCGTGGGAGACCAAGCCACGGCTACTAAGCCCCCCGCCACGACAAGGCGGGAACCCGTTCGGGGGGGGGGTCGCACTGACCCTGAGATTGTCAACTGGCTCTGCCAGCGTAACCGGTTTTTTCTAGTCTCGCCACGCGTACGCAACAAGCGGCTAGTGGTCACGCACACATGACCCGCGTGCTTGTATTAGTGCAACTTATTCGCACGGTTGTTTGAAGCTTTATCTCTGTTCCGTTTATCTACTCATGTGCTACTAGAGCGGCAATTCAAAACAAAAACTGTGTAACAGCTGTATAATGCACGAGCGCGTTCCGCCGACGGGTGAATATACTGGCACGGTAAATATGTCATGCCTGTATTTTCATTTAAGACTTGTACTGTGTTTTTTTTAGACAAAATCGAAATAAAATTACGTACTTATCTGAAATAAACTTCAAATCCCGTTGACAAAATGCGCACCTGAATAATGACAGCGTTTTCTTAGTCATGCCGTCATAGCCGTGGTAGCTCAGCTGGTTAACGCTCGCTGTAAATATAACAGAACGCGAGTAACCCGGGTTCGATCCCCGCCAGCACCAATGAAGTTGTTAATTGTAATTTTAAGTGCTGATCTACCACGTGATCGGCGGTGAAGGAAAACATCGTGAGGAAACCTGCACGTCTAAGGAATAAAAAAAATATTTCCAAGACATATGAAGTTCGCCAACACGCATTGGGATTGGTATTGGCTGCGCGGCGGACACTTCCTTGCCCTAAAACCCTCTCATAAATGAGGGAAGGCCTGTGCCCAGCAGTGGGACGTACATAATAGGCTTGTAACTTGTAACTTTCTTAGTCATATTAAAGAAAATAAATGTTAGATTGTCGAAAACAGTGGTCGCGGTTTAAAAAAACATAGAACTAGTCTTCTCGCCCGCTCGTAATCGCAATGTTTAAAGGCCGCAGACCCGCTAGTAGTAAACATAGAAGTCTTTGGTTTTGAGGGTTGGTGAGATAACATGTTCTGTGTGATAGAAATCCGGTGTGATAGCTTCCTTCATAAGCAATCCATCACTCGGTCTCGCTCCAATGTTGTAAGAAGAATCAATTAAGATTTCTAAGGAGACCGTGTGACCGTATATTCACCTTGCATATATTCATCAACCCAAAAATAATGTAGAAGACTTGTGATGGACACCACCATTGACGTTGCTTGATTGGCGGCGTGGATATTTTACATAGCTTGGATAAATACGCGGTGATTTTGAAATTTTCCATAAGATGCCTCTAACGACTATCAGGCTAAGCTGTGAAGTGTACCGCGCATATTATATAGTTTGCCATAAATACTCCACAGGGCAGACGACAGAAAACAGTGTCAATATTGTGTTCATGTTAATCACAAGGCTCATAATGAAACCTATACGAAAGGTACATGACTTGCTGTGGACAGCATATTCGTATTGCGTATATGATTAACATTAACATACTGTTACGCGCTCAAATCGACGATACACTAGCGCCATCTAGTGTCAGGAACGAGAGCGAGGGGAGCATTGAGAAAATGACATCACAAATCACTCAACCGACAGCGCCTAGTCGAAACTCGAACGCTCGGTACCTTGCGCGTGTTTACTTGAACATTCTGGATATTTCTTTGCTAATTTAAATATATAGGCGCTGCAAGATGCGAGGGAGTAGTGTTGATTTGGCGAAACAAGCGAAGCTTCGGAGCGGAATAAAGTGAATAAGTGTGTTTAATTATTAGTGTTTTTAACTTTAATTTGTGTAAAGTAAATTAAAGTGTTAATTTAGGTAATTTTATCGGCAATTTTTATTGTCACGAACCTCAAGCTCGTAACAATACTATTGACACTGTTTTCTGTCGGCTGCCCTGTGGAGTAGTGTGGGTAGCATGGCCTGATTTATTCACAGGCTAACCAGGCTTCTTAATAAATAATAGATTCTTTCCAGGATTCCAGGATTCTTAATAAAAAAGACTGAATTATTTGGTACCTTTCATCTTTTGTTGACTGAATGAATGGGCGTGATTCAAAGTTTTTGAACTGATCAAGCTCTCAATCCTTCCTCTAAATTTATTTAGCCAAGGCTGTGCAAGGGAACTTTTGCCAGCCATCTGTTCCGTCTGTAGAGAATGATGATAATGGGCCAGTGAGGCCCATGCCGCAAGGGAATAAGTCGATCTTTTAGGTTCTTTTTTAGAGTCCGACTCAACTCTCGCTGACGGTAGGTACACGCCGCCAACCTCCCCGCGGCGTGATTTCTCCATGCTGGATATGCGGTTTACATTCCTCTTCTTGAGACTTCAACAAGTCGAGTTGGGCCTGATGGAGTCCCTTCTATAGAAGCCGGAGACGGGTGCTCCGGAATTAACACCGATTTTAACGCGTCTTTTCCGGTACTGTTACTCCTTAGATGTAACCCTGAACTTAAAGAAGACGGCTTTAGTGCAACCGATTCGCCTATTAGCATCACTTCCTTGTTCTTCAAAATAATGGAATCCTTTATAAACTGCCAGCTCATAAGGTACCTTGAGGACCACCGGCTGATTAACTTTTAACTAACTAATCTGGTTCTAGTTCTATCTTCTAATATACCTGACTCTGATGAGCGGAAGAAGTAGAGTTCAAGAGGGACCTTGGTCGTTACTTTGGATATAGTGAATGGTCGTGGCTTTGGTACAAAGCGCTTCTTTAGAAGCTTCCTTCTTATGGCTTTCCCAAATTTTTTGTAATTGGATCGTCAGCTTTCTTGCAGATTGCTGCATTCTTTTGTGTATCCATTATATGTTGCTGTTACCGGCTGTAACACTGGCGATGTTTTTTACACCGATTTAATACGACTCTCGTCCAGTTTAAACTTGAAGACAGGTTTGCGCGTTTACAGCTAAAATGAACTTCTTTGTTATACGTCCTCAATTTTAAGGCACTCCCTATGCTACCTCAGCCAGCACCAGATTCCTCGGCATCGACATATCGAATGACGTATAGTTAAAAGTTTAAAGAACGTTTAAAGGGATGGCTAAATTGGCTTCTATAATGCTTGGCGCAGAGCGGGGCGGTATTTCATGCCGGCACACTGTTTCCTACTTTACAAGGCACGAGTTCGCCCTCCCATGAAGTACTGTTCTCATCTCTGGACTGGGACACCTCTGTGCCTGCTCCTTCCTCTTGACTACATCCAGCGAAGAGTGACTCGAATCGTCGACGATCGAGTTCTTTCTGATTGGCTCGATCACTGGCGCTGCGATGAGATGTTGCATCCCATTGCATTTTGTATCCCATTTTCCACGAGGGAGTACTTAGACAAATTGTTTGGATTAATTTAATCCGCCAAATGCCACCAACACATTGGGACAAAATTCACGATACCATCCAGGCGATTTTGATGCTTGGCGGTTCACCATGACTGTGCGATTTACTAGAAGTTTCCTTCCTCGCAATACTTCTTTATGGATTTTTCCGGACCGATACGACTTGGCGACCTTTATGAAACCAGCTTACTCCTTTTAAAAAGGCAACAACGCACCTGCAATTTCCCTGATGTTGCAGTTGTTTATGGGCGATGGTCGACACTTACTATCAAGAAAATTTGATTTAATGTGGGCGAAAGCGCAGAGTAGAAAGCTAGTAAAATATAAAATCTAGTAAATATATTCATGGGCTGGGCATGTACAGACAGAACAGGCCGGTGAGGGGGGGGGTCATATCCATAGCTAGCCTAGGGCCGTCCGAATTCTAAATCAGGTACTGTACAGCATAGAAGCTGATAATGGTTTTTGTTGAAATTGTACTATTGGTATAATATCTCCCTTTGCACCCAATTCAGCTTATATTTCCCCCAGTATATTCTTTCTATAACAAACATGACCTTCTCCCATCAAACTAGGTGTTAAGTGCATTTGAGTTGTTTGACTAATTGCAAAATACTCAAACGCTGATCAATTTTAAGATGTCGTTAAGTCTCGTGGTCACAGTCACTTTGATTTAAAGTGAAAGGGACAGTACAGACGAGACACAGATCTTAAAATTGAGAGAGTGGTATTTGGGCTTTACATAATAAATAAATTGTTGTATTTCACAGAGCGGGATACCACGCACTGCTTATCGGGGTATAGTGACGTGTTACGTTCGCGGCCGGCGAGTGTACCTCGCACCCGACTTCCCATGGACTAAATACGACCCCGCATGGGGGTAGCGCCAGCTAACAATATTACATTAATATTGAATATTAATGGCCCAATAGACGTTGTATAACGTGAAAAACAATAAAGTTAAAATATCCATGATATATTCAAGGTTGAAACTTACCTGACTTTCTTATATCTGTATTTACAGTGCGCGTGTAATTTTGTGAACATAAACATGAATAATGGTGTTTTAATTGTGAATGTAATGTGTTTTCGTACCTAAGCTTTTGTATATAGTGAAATTAAATACCCTATAATGTATGTAGGGTAAATATCTAACGTCTGTCTGACATTAAATGAAACTACTTTTTACGGATTTTGTCAAGTTTAATTTACCTGTTTTTATAATATATTCCCGACGTTTCGAGTGCTTTATAATATATCGCCCATAGTCACGGGAGGGACAGACGTGTTCAAAATTCCAATATTCTAGTTAATTCAGGCTTCATTCAGTCCCAAATTATGAGTTTTGGTCCGATATATGTACATAGATAGAAGTTACAGTATCTTGAAATCTTGCAGTGGTGTGGTTGATTTGAATTTAATTTTATTAACCGTTGAGTCGGGAATATAAAAATAAGTACTTAAATTAAAAGTGATAAAATCTACAGAAAAATTCCTTAACATTTAGATGAAATTGTAAAGCGATAGTATGCTATTTAAATCTCATCCTCAACATTCCCCTGCAACAGCAACTACAGGAACTGCACTTTATAAATGCTACAATTTACACTGTTTAGCCTTTTATCTAGCATTCTGTATGTTGTATTTGGTGTTGCCATATTAAATAATTGTAAAAACTATTAAGTAAAATATTAATAACAGGCTGTGAAACGTCATAATGAGAAAACTTTTATAGGAATCATTTATAAAATAATAATTGTAATAATGGGGTTGTAATTGAAACAAAATATATCGCACATCCTCTAAAAACTATGACATCACTAAAACAGGTTTTGAGAAATAGCCATTTTAAGTTTTTTTTAAGGTATAAACGATGTAGTCACCTCAGGGTGGCCGATATTTTTTTTGCTTATAATTTTATTTGATGTGAAATGTAATTAGCTCTTTTAGGCAAATCAAAATTAATATAGCAATTGTATGTATAAATGTTCTTTTAAATAATTGTAAATGATTCCATAACACTTTTACATTAGGGTGGTGTTATTACTAATAATAATAACAACATGTACAAATAAAAATCTTTATTAAATAGTTCTTAAACTATGAACTTTATCTTCTTAAATCTAACAGGAACTTTTTTTATAGAAGAGGGGGGCAAACGAGAGACTACCGCCGCACATGAACAACTGCAACACCAGGGAAATTGCAGGTGCGTTGCCGGCCTTTTAAAAAAGGAGTAAACACTTTTCTTGAAGATCCCTAAGTCGTATCGGTCCGAAAAATTGCCGGTGGTAAACAATTCCAAGAGAAGTTGTACGAGGAAAAAAACTCCTAGTAAAACGCACAGTGGTGGACCGCCAAGCATCCTGATGGGTAGGATGGTATCTTGAATTTCGACGCGATGTGCGTTCACGAAGTTTGGCGGCTAAGATTAATCTGTACAGTTCCTTAGAGCACTCCCCGTGGTAGATGCGATAGAAAATGCAAAGGTATGCTACATCCTTATGCAGCGCCAGTGAATCGAGCCGATCAGAAAGAACTCGGTCGTCAAGGATTCGAACCACTCTGCGCTGGATGCGGATGCCCAGAGATGAGGACAGCATTCCGTGTTAGACCGAACTTACTCGTTGTAAAGTTGCAAGCGATGTGCTGGCATAAAATACTATCTCGCTCTGCTGAGCACGTCAAGCTTTTTAGAGGCCAATTTGGCCTTCACATCAAAGTGACCACGAAACTGCACGTCATTCGATTGGTCGACGTCAAGGATTCCGATACTGGCTGAGGCAGCAAGGGGAATGCCTTGGTTGATTTTTTTGCCTGGGTATCTTGCTGGTTCTTCCCAGGACAGAGGTTTTTTTGCGAACCAGTGGTAAATGAAAAAATTGACTTTCAATAAGTATTGTTTATAATCTATATTGAATAAAAAAGTTTCTGTTTCTTGAAACTGAGGAGATACGACAAAGGGGTTCTTTTTAGCGTTAAACGCTCAAACTTGTATCTTCTGGGGATTGAACTGAACTAAATTTAGTCGCCCCCAATCCGAGACTGTTCTGACTGCATCACCAGTGCTGTCTCCTGCATAGCAATGAATGTTACCAGTTTGCAACATATCATTGATATGCAGAAGAAACAGCGTTGGTGATAGCACGCACCCTTGTGGAATACCAGCGTATATAGGCTTGTAATTAGAGCATGCAACGTCTACTACGACCTTGATGCTCCGATCAGCAAGGAAACTGGTGATCCAAATCCACAATTTCTCGGGAAGCCCATAGGGAGCTTCGAAAGAAGCGCTTTGTGCCAAACCCAATCGAAGGCATTAGCAATGTCCAAACTAACGGCCAAAGCCTTCCCCTTGGACTCTACTGCTTACGCCCATCTATGAGTTAGATAGATCAGGAGATCACCAGCTGATCGACCACGACGAAAACCGTATTGGCGGTCACTAATCAGTTGGTTATCCTCAAGGTACCCCATGGGCTGGCAGCTTATAATGGACTTCATTATTTTGGAGAACAAGGAGGTGATGGCGATAGGCCTGTAGTTGGAAGGGTTTGAGCGGTCGCCTTTTTTAGGGATCGGGTAGACCAAAGCTGTCTTCCATGAATTCAGGACTACGCCTTGGGAGTAGGAGTACCGGAAAAGACGCGTTAAAATCGGTGCCAACTCCGGAGCACACGTCTTCAGCACAATGGGAGGGACTCCATCAGGCCCACTCGACTTGCTGACGTCCAGGGTGAGGATCGCTTTGCAAACCGAGCGCTGTGTTAACCGCACATCCGGCATAAAGCACTCACACCGCGGGATGGTCGGTGGCTTGCTCTCCCCGTCATCGAGAGTCGAGTTGGACGCAGAGAGAGCCTAACAGATCGGCTTTCTCCTTTTCAGCATGGGCCAGTGAGTCGTCCTCTCTGTGCAGAGATGGAAGAGATGACTGACAGAAGTTCCCTTGGACAGCCTTGGCGAGAGACCAAATTCCACAGGTTCCCGAAGGAAGGCGAACTAGTTTCTTTCCAATTCTGCCGATGGGCTCAGACCTTGCTTTGGCAATGACACTTTTGAAGGACCTGAAGGCGGAGTTAGACTTCTTTTTAAGAGCGCTGGTGTTTACATCCCGAGACGTTGATGCGTCAACGCAGGCCCGGTAGCTCTCCTGCTTATAGCGTAATGCTATTTTACAGGAGCGACCAAACCATGGCTGGGATCTACCTCCGATGGGCCACAGAAGATGGGATAAAATGTTTCATACCTGGAAGTACTACATCAGCAACAGAATCAGCAGCAACGCTAGGATCGTCCGGCGAGAAGCAAACCCACCCCCAAGGATAGGATGCAAAAAAAGACCGCATCCTATCCCAATCAGCCGACCTATAGTGCCAAACACGGCGTCAGCCTGCAGAATGCAACCGCCACATTATTGTGACTGGCACCACACTCCGGACAAGAGAATGATTCCACGAGCCTAGAGGGGCGTCGACGGAAACCTGATATCCGTCCGGATGAGAGGTCAGCAGAAGCTCCAATAGGGAAGGTTTATGATCTTCCACTTCTGGGATCCGCGTAGGCGAAGTAACCAATTGTGTCAGAACGTATGCCAAGGCAAAGTTATAAACAGATCTCCCTGCATGATCGTTACATACATACGTGGCGTTAAAATCGCCAAGGATCACGATCCCAGCGGATGAGATCTGCTGTAGCACGGAATCTGTAGCTATTTGGACGTGGTTGATGAGTCGGTGTGTTTCGGTTCCCATAGCGGAAGATTACCGCTATAGGAACTATATAGGCACCCGTAGACGCGGGGATGGTCGTCGCTGTCTACGCGCAGCCATAGGATGGACAGGTCCGTACCTTCAAGACTGCCGAGGCGTCGAAAACAGATGTCCTCTCTGACGTATACGCAAACTCCAGCCCGGGGCATAAAGGAGTGTTCTAATTTGTACCCCGGGTAGGAGAGATATGAATTATCCGCTGGACGCCGTAAAGAGCACGGCCGGAATCACCGTCTCTAGATGGTAGTGGACAGCATTAAGGTTGGAATGAAGTTCCCTGTTGTTGCAATCCCCCCAGAATAAGCGGAGCAGCCTGAGCATCAACGCTCAGTAAGAATAGGATAATTTGGTCGTGGATGCTCAGCTTGGGATTCTCCGTCACCAGGGGTGCTGGTACCGTCCTGGGGTAGTTTTTTCTACTGCTACCATGTTAAGGGGGAGGGGGGGAATTGGCCTACGGCCACCTGCACTTAACAAACGAAACGCAGAGGTAAATCTGTACTTCACTTATACTTCAGTTATGTTATATTCATAAATAAAGAATCGAAAGTGGGATAAAACCGCGTTTATAACTCAAAACACAATTTTTTTGTAATGTGACCATTTTTAGAGGATGTGCAATATCAAGCTTAAAATTAATATGGGCGAGCGTTTTTGTATAATGTTTGATTATTGTTGTACTGCACACAACATATATATTTTTCTGTCCGTTTTGCAAATTTTAATCTAGTTGTTTTGTAAAGTGTATTAATAACGAAATCTTTGGTATATTTGTTAATTCAGATATAACGGAATTTTCAAAACCCCATTCCTGATTTATATGCTTATAAGTTTAACGTTATGTTATGAATTTCGGTAAAATTTGTAGAGGTTACATAAAAATACGTGAAGAAAGAAGAAACAATTATTATTTCGCATAGACTTATTACATTTTGAATAAATTGATTGAATTTTGTTATCTTAAATAGGCATAGAATTGGGTAATTGGCAATTTAAATTATAAAAATATTGTTATTTATTATTGGTAATAAATAACTGTATTTTATAAATATAATTTAGCATTTTTGTTTCCTTAAGATTCGATCGATTTTCCGTTGCCATTAGAGCCTATT